CCTCATCCGCCGTCAGGTGAGGTGGAGGATGAAATGCCTGCAGAACCGTAGGCCGTGCCACATTAGATGGCACCTTAGGCAGATAGCCAGGCCTAGGGTGAAGGATGGCCTTAATGTTGCCTGGAGCAAACTCCAGGCACTCGTTAGATATAGAGAGCGCCTGAAGATCTCCCACCCTCCTCAGAGAAGTGATGGCCAACAGAAAAGCGACCTTCAGCATTAGGTTCTTGGCCTCAGCCGACTCCAGTGACTCGAAGGGGGCCTCAGCCAATCCTTCTAGAACTACTGCCAGGTCCCAAGAGGGAACCCTGGTACGAGCCGCAGGTCTCATCCTCCAGGCTCCACGGAGGAAACGTACGATCAATTGGTGTCTCCCCAGAGACCCATCACCCAACGGAGCGTGGAAAGCCGCAATGGCAGCCACGTACACCTTGAGCGTGGACGGGGTAAGACCAGAGGAGAAGCGATCTTGGAGGAACTCCAGCACTGAAGCCACTGGGCAGTTAACTGGGTCAACCTCACGCCTCCTACACCAATCAATAAACACATTCCACTTTAAACCATACAGTTTCCTCGTGGAGGGAGCTCTAGAGCTGAGTATGGTCTCCACTACTCCAGCTGACAGGCCGGCCTCTAGGTACTGTGCCCTTTCAGGGGCCAGACCCACAGTTTCCATAATTCTGGCCGAGGGTAAAATATTGAGCCCCCCGCCTGTGTCAGCAGGTCCCTCCTGAGGGGAATCTCCCACGGAGGGCCGTCTAGGAGCAATATTATGTCCGAGAACCATACTCGGGCCGGCCACAATGGGGCTACCAACAGTAGACTGATCCCGTCACAACGGACCCTTTCCAGAACTCCCGGGAGCAGAGCGATCGGGGGAAATGCATACAGACGCAGCCTTGGCCACGTCTGCACCATAGCATCCAGCCCCAGCGGGGCTGGAGGGGTGAGGGAAAACCACAGCGGACAGTGGGTTGTCTCTCGAGACGCAAACAGGTCCACTTCCACTGGGCCGAACCTCTGACATATCGACTCCACCACCTCGGGTCCAATCCCCGGGCTTCAGCCCCTGTCTCGACAGGACGTCTGCTCCCTGATTTAGACTTCCCGGGATGTATGTTGCTCTCAGAGACAACAGTTTCCCCTGGGACCACAGGAGGATCTGATGCGCCAGTCTGCATAGAGGGCGAGACCTCAGGCCCCCCTGATGGTTTATATAGGCCACCACTGACATGCTGTCTGACCTCACGAGGACGTGATGACCTCTGAGGTCCGGCAGGAAGCTCCTCAGAGCCCGGGAGACCGCCAACATTTCCAGGCAGTTTATGTGCCAGGAGGAACGATGGTCCCGCCATAGGCCTGTCATGAAGCGGCCGTCCATGACCACGCCCCAGCCCGTGAGGGAAGCGTCTGTCGAAAAGGTTTTCCGGCGACATGGCGCTCCCAACACTGGACCTTGGGACAAGAACCAAGCTTTCTTCCACATAACCAGAGAACGAAGGCATCTGCGCGTAACTCTGATTGTGCAGAACGGGTTTCCCCTCGGGGAGAACCCCTTGGTTTTCAACCACCACTGGAGGGCCCTCATGTGCAGCAGGCCAAATGGAATGATGTTGGATGCTGCTGCCATGAGTCCCAGCACTCTCTGGAAATGCTTGACAGTGACGGCTTGGCCTAGCTTTATCCCAGCCACTGTGGCCAGAATGGACTCGACTCGCGCGGGAGACAATCGTGCCCGCATTACGACCGAATCCCATACCACTCCCAGGAACGTAGTCCTTTGGGCTGGCATCAACACGCTCTTCTTCGTATTTAGTCTCAACCCCAACTTCTGGATGTGGGCAAGAACAACATCTCGATGCTGAACTACCAGCTCTTGAGACTGGGCCAGAATCAGCCAGTCGTCTATATAGTTGAGCACCCTGATGCCCTGGAGCCTCAGAGGTGCTAGAGCTACATCCATACATTTGGTGAATGTGCGGGGAGAGAGAGCTAGGCCGAACGGAAGAACCCGATATTGGTACGCTTCGCCCCCGAAAGCGAACCTCAGGAACTTCCTGTGGGATGGAAGGATGGATATATGAAAGTATGCGTCCTTCAGATCTATCGTGACGAACCAATCCTCGGATTGGATCTGACTCACGATCATGGGAATAGTGAGCATCTTGAACCTGAATCTCCTCAGAGAGCGGTTCAGATATCTGAGATCTATGATCGGACGCAACCCCCCATCTTTTTTGGGAACTATAAAGTAGCGGCTGTAAAACCCGGACTCCCTGTCTAGTGGAGGAATATGCTCTATGGCCCCCTTTGCCAGCAGGGAGTTTACTTCCTGTTCCAATACCCGACCTTGCGTCGGGTTGACTACAGTCCAGACCACCCCGTTGAATCTGGGTGGGTGGAACCCGAACTGCAGCCTGTACCCGTATTGTATCGTGCGCAGCGCCCACGGGGAAATATTCGCTAGATTTTTCCATGCATCGAAATATTTCGCCAAGGGAACCAGGCTCTCGAGCCTGGTTTCGGGTATTAATCGGGATTCGTTCTCGACCGCCTGAAACGGATCTCCGGCAGGACTGGACCGAAAATGATTCTCGATGGGCGAACGCAATCGCTGCCCGTCCGCAGGCTCGTGGGGCGGACAAAGCAGCTTGCGATCGCTGGAAACCGATGCGTCCCGAAACGTACTTGACGGCGGGAGAACAACATCGATTTCCTGCGGGCTCCGCGAGGGAGACGACCTCAGTCGCTCCATCACGGGTGGGGCCGCCCGCAGAGATCCTAGCACTGCTAGGACCTCTTAGATGTTTTCTTAGCCTGCAGGACGGCCCTTAGGTCGCCCTGCTTGGCTTGCGGCTTAGATTGAGAGCGCCGTCTATGTCCCCAAGCTCCTTGAGGGGGGGCTCTAGACGCGACGCTCTCTCTCTGAACCTGCCTGTTGGTGGAGGAGCTGGTACCTGGCTGAGGCTGCGACTGCCCACTGGGGGCAGACTTCCTGGATACTGAGTGGCGAGGAAGAAATTGTTTGAAGGCCGCTGATTGTTTTTTCGCCTCCTGAAACCTGTCGACAACGGTATTAACAGCGTCGCCGAACAGGCCAGAAGGCGAAATCGGGGCATCAAAGAGGAAAGCCCTGTCTTTCTCCCTGATGCCCGTAAGATTTAACCATAAATGTCTCTCCGAGACCACCATTGCCGCCATGGAGCGACCGACAGCGCGGGCCGTCTCTTTGGTGACTCGGAGAGACAAATCAGCGACCTTCCTCAACTCCGCCACATCCTCCGGAGTTGGTCCCTCGCCCTCATCAATATCCTTAAGAAGGTCGGCCTGGTACGCTTGGAAAAGCGCCATGGTGTGAAGACTCGCACCAGCCCGACCCGCAGCCATATATACCCTGCCCACCAGTGAAGATGTTTCTCTGCATGGCTTGGTGAGCAGCACCGGGGCTTTAAAGGATGATGCCGACTCAGGTGATAAATAATTAGCCAAAGGCTGTTCAACCCACGGCATCATCCCATAACCATTCTCTCGTGCCCCCATGATGTTACTATATTTTAATACAGTAGGATTGGAAACATGAGAAGAATGGGGTTTCTTCCACGATTTACACACCTCAGTATGCAAATCGGGAAAAAACGGTAAGCCCCGATGATGAGGTTGTTCCCTGTGCTGCAGGAAGCGCTCATCTAATTTGCTTTTAACTTGCACTTCCTGCTTTTCTTGTGGCCAATCGATCTTTAAATGAGCCACTGCACGGGAAACAACCTCTACCAGCTCCTCATATGCGGGGACACGGGGTGGCGAGTCATCCCCGAAGTCCCCGCCCCCTTCGATGCTGAGCACGTCCACCTCCTCGGAAGCAGACAGCTCAAGCATCGGATCCTCGACTCGCGCAGAAGAAGCCGCCGAGCGGGCTTCTGCGCGAGGCTCGAGGACATCGGAACTGTCCGATGAATCCCGAGAAGGTGCCTCAGCAGCCTCGGGATCCCCAGACAGATCCATTTGCGAGCCCCATGAAGAGCGTCGCCGCACCACGGGGCTCACGAGGCTGACCCTCTTCATTGAAAAGGGCCAGCCGGGAACGCAGCACGCGGAGCGGTAAAGCCTCACAATGCTCGCAAGCAGCTCCCTCGAGAGCTGCCTGCGCGTGCTGCATTCCCAGACAATCTGAACACAGTTGGTGTGTGTCCCCGCCCGTGATGTAGCGAGGGCAAGGGTGCACACACCGCCTGAAATTCACACTCGCCATTACTCAGTTTTTAGGGAGATTCACTTGCTTAGACAGACAAACAATAAATAAGACTGACAGTCACAGAGAGCGCTTAGCTGAAGAACAGAAAGCTGACATGTTGTGTGTGCCGGTTCCTTATATATGCTTCCGCCTATGTGTCGTCACACATCACGTCATCACGTTGATCCAATCGGAGATTGGCTTAGTTTCATTCATGCTTCAGAGACGCTACGCTGAGGGGCGTTCCCCCAAAGTGTCACTTGGACGCAGTTTGAGTTCCCTTGATAGGGAACTGCTTTTATTGAAACCAAGCTGGCGAAACAACTCGTTTTGGATTTTGTCACATTTTGGTGCAATAGTGCGATGAAACACCGTCTTTTCAGAAGATGATCAATGCCTAGTTCTACATCATTGCCTCTTAAGCTCAGCCAACCAATTCACACGTCATGTAGTAGTAAATACGAGATAGATGCAAATACAGGATTAAGCTAGCAACAAAATGATAGAGATACCTGTGATGACCTCAAAGAACATTAAAAATGCAGTTCCTGACCCCTTTAAAAGTAGGATTTCAGTTCAATGTTCCAAAAGGGGGTATAAAATCGTGCCGCTATTGAATCGAGAAACTGAAAATGTCCCATGGTAACATAACATACTGTGTATGTGTTTTCATCTATCATAATGCAATGTTTGCGGTGAGATTAAAGTGACATGTTTGAATATTGTTATGCATGCCAGGGGATGTTCAGAGGGAATATTAAACTCAAACCTTTTTGAGCTTTGATCTTTGTTGGTGTTGTCAGAGTTGAGGCCTTTCCAGATGTTTCCAAAAGACGTCTTTGTCATTTCATCTGTAATGTTGACCGTGGATGGATCGTCCCTTAATGAATGCAAACACATTCGCATTTTATTTCTGTTACGTCATATTTTGAAAGAACATTTTGAAAGTTTGTCCTTCCAAAGGAGAGGATGTATAGATGTTTAGATTTCTGTAAAAATCTAAACATTAGTACAGAAATGTTTGACTCCAGGCTGTTTCTACATGAAATATGTGAAATGAAATTTTATTTTTTGACAGTATGCTTTGTATATTCCACTGAAAAAATGTTTACAGTTTTTCTCAATTGCTTTGGCACATTTTTCGAAACATTCTTAACATTCTCTAAACTGTGAGTGCAAATGTCACAACTGTTTGCAGGAACTTCAAAACTTTATAGCATGTCTGCAAAATGTAGTTACTCACCCAAAACATTTAATTCATGCTTCAAAACCTAGTTATTTTGTCAATAATTTGGCCAAGGCCACCAAAATCTAAAGTATTTTTGTCATTGTGTGAGCCACACTGGTCAAAATGTTTAGTTATTTTTTCACCACAACAGTCAACCATGAAAATTAAGGGTTTACTGTCTGTAAACAAATTTCATATTTGTCGAGAAAAGTCAATATAGAAAAAAAAATCTATGAACATTTGTATTTTTACAGTGTTTATTTTTGTACTTCATGTGTATATACACAATACAAGTGTATTTACTGTACATGTAAAGTAACTGACAAGAGTAACAAGATTTCACTTGACATTTCATATTTGTGTATTACCACAAATACACAAACAACAAATAACATTCATGAAGAAAAAAAAAAGAAAAAAATTATTCTTGGTGGACATCTTGTCGCTCACGTTGGTCAGGCCAAATATTTTCATCAACATCACATCTGATTTTACCATTGCCACACACCGTGGAAAAAATCTCCTTGAATGCCGCACCCATCCCCTGCAATGGTCAGATTTATGACATGATCCACAAGTGTGGCTCTGATTTCATCAGAGACTCTGACTCTTCTATTTCCACCTCTTCCTCGATTATTTCTTCCTCTACCACCACCACGTATTTTTACACGCCTTCCAATTGCTCTTCCATGAGCTTGTTGCTGCAGTTCAGGGTTGTGAATGTCTTCCATTCTATGTATATATATATATATATATATATATATATATACTCCCAAAGTTGATTGGTTAAATGGTTGATTCATATTAGAGGTAATTTGCAATTAGATTGCGAATGCAATTACTGTAGAAGTCATGTGCCAATTTAGCAAACATTACAAACAATGCCAATGTCAGATATATTTTAGAATATACATGCATGTATACTAATTATGATAATTGAATAGATCGTTTTGAATGTGATGGCTTACACAATAAAAAATGCCTGAGAAGTTCTGAAGTGTTTGACAGTGTAAGTGAGAATCGAGTCATCAGTTTTGATCAACAAGCCATATGCAATTCTTTGTTGTCCAAATTGCAGACAGTTGTATGTACTCTTTGCACACATGTGCCAAAGCATTTGCAGTTTGCTCAAATCAATAAGAAATTCCAATCTGATGTGAAAAAGAAGCGAATTGTTCAGAGATCTGAACTTAATGTTTTGGGAAATAAAAAAAACATTTGAGAACTGAGCCAAAGCAATTGAGAAAAACTGTAAACGGTACTGTTCAAAAGTTTTGTGTCAGTAAGATTTTTGAAATAAGTATCTTATTCTCACCAAGCCTGCATTTATTTGATTAAAATGCAGTAATATTGTGAAACATTATTACAATTTAAAATACATGTTTCTATTTTGTAATTTATTACTTTAATGTATTCAATGCAAATGTCTCTAGGTAAATACTCCAGTTTTAAGTGCCAATTGATCCTTCAGAAATCTTTCTTATATACTGTATAATCTCTTTTTAAAAATAATACGGACTAGATTTACGGGTTAGATTATGTAGAAATGGTAACAACAACAGATTACCAATTTTACAGTGTACAAACTGTAAAAACAAATCCTACTTACTTAAAATGCCCCTCTAGGGGCACTTGTACAATTCCTTCCTCCTCCATCAAGACACACTGACTCTCCTGAAAGTGAGAGAAAGAACATGTTGGTGATCTATCCAATTAAAAACGTTGCCTTCAGTGATTGGTGGTTGCCAGCCAATAGCATCGTCACAGGCTGCAGGGGGTGGTGGTACCTCTTGCTGTGCATCTTCCAGTTTTTTCTTCTTGCTCTCTGGCATGAGGTCATCAAGCCAGCTGAGATCTCGCTTAGAGAAGAAAAAATCCAACAGCTTACGGATGAACAAAAGGGCTAAGACCTGCGAGAAAACACACAAACATCGTATGAGATCTTGATGATCTTGCATGCACACATTCAGAAATATACACAAACACACATCTTACCATCATAGGAAAGACTATGGCGGCTCTGGAGGTTTTGATGACCCAAAGAAGCACCAGGCAGCTGAACTGGATGATGGTGAACAAGTGAACTTTTCTCAGCGGGACGTGTCTCAAGTAGATAAAATCAGGTTGGTGTTTTGTCGGCATCCCGAACAGTTTCACACGATCAAAAAACTGAACGACAAAACACAAGCACGCCAAAACTGTCAGAACTATATATGACTTTGTATTTGGACACAATTTAGTCTTGTTAACCAAACCTAAAATAATAAAAAAAAAAATGTTTTTGTTAATTGAAATGAAGCTGACATAAAATATACATTTTAGATGAAAAACTTCAACTTGTAACAAAAAACTTGAAAAACTTCAAAAATGTAACAAAAATAAAATAAAAAAATGTAACTGGTAGTACTAAAATGTAAAATAAATACAAATAAACAAATACAAAAATAAACAAACAAAAACAAAAATTAAATTAAGTAAACATAAAAATGACTTGAAAAAAGAAAATGTAAAAATAAAAGCTAATTTAAAAGATTAATAAATATAATAAGAGTATATAAATAATTCTAAAATAACACTGGGAGTCTAATTCAGCTTTCACAATCAATAAAATATATTACAACAGGTCTTAAATTGTAATCTTATTTCACAATTTTACTGTCTTTACAGTCTTTTTTTTAATCAAAGAGCATATAGGACTTATATAAATAATACTTAAATAACACTGGGACACATAAAGGCCCGTACACACCGGGACGAATATCAGCGCGTATTATTCGTCTGCGTTTTTCAACGCGTTTTTTGTGTTCACACCCAAGCGATTTTCGCAGACGATGAGCCGAGTCAATATGCCAATTAATTCCCTGACATTAGATGGCGCCAATTTGCTCTGCAATACCACTCCATATCAGTTTTCTTTTATCAAGATGTTTGTAGTCCCTGTCGCGTTTGTCATATCGTTTTTTTTATGTTCTAGCACCAACGAGAACATCAGCTCTACATTCATCTTGCCTTGCATCTTCATCGTCTTATTTCTTCCTGGCTGTGTGTAGACGGCGACGCTACTTGGCGTATATCTTCTTCGCCGTTGCATTTGTGTGCTCGGCAAGACCGTTTTGTGTTTGAGCGCCCCCAAGTTGTGTTTTACTATAACTTCAGAAGCTCCAAACACGTGAGCAAAAGCGCCAATCTCATTGGTCGGATAGTTTTTGACATGGCGCGTCAAACTAAAAAAACGAACCTGAGGCGTTTTTTATTTTTTCAAAATGACGCTTTTACGCATGGTGTTTTAAGTGTGAACACTCATATTGGCGCCATTTGTTTAGTCACGAGGCGTTAAACGTCGGCGAATAACGCGCACGCAATTCGTCCCGGTGTGAACAGGCCTTAAGCCACACCTACAATTGTCAAAATAAACAACTGTTAGGAACAATATATGACTAGTAATTGCAGTACTTGTATGCCCCTGAGAGACGACGCTCCCATATAGAGGAAAACTCCGTATAACACAGGCATCGGGATATGCTGAGGACAAAAATCAAAATAATAAACATTAAAAGATAAAATCCCACAAAAGTTTTTTTTATTTATTTATTGCAATCATGTTTGTAACTATCATCAGTTGATCAAAGAAGATTACTGACCTTCAGTACGGAGGTCATAAATACTGAGCTGCCCATGAGGACGAATATCATGAGGCCGGTGAAGCGCTGCTCTCTGATGCCCAAGAACTTGGGCTGTTCACCGGGTGCGGAGCATTCGGACTCCAATTTCAGGCTGTTCACGTGGCTGATTGACAGCACAGTCGCAGCCACGAACCACGGGAGGCCCATGAGAGAGCACACGCCCAGCATCACACCCACCACAAACAGGTCCAGATGATACCCACAGCCTTTCTGTGGATGCACACATACACAACGAAAGACATCTCATCAAAAGTACAAGATTATTTGTTAACCAAAAAGGAGCATATTTTGAAGTAGTGACACACCTTCAGCTTGTGTTCCTTCCTATTAATAATAACGGCAGTGATTTGTTGGTCCATGAAGATGAGGATGGTGCACAACAGAGCAGGGATGAAGCTAATAATGGTGGTCCACCACGGGTTTGGTCCCAGTGGACTGATGAACCAGCCACGGTCATCTCTGGTTGGCTGTAAAAGGTCATTAGTCAATTACAGATTGATATTCTGAGGATGTGGATTTGTGGGAAAATCTACAAATGAAAATGACACAGTAAGGTGACTCACTTTAAACTCATTAGGAACCTGTAGTTTTGGAGAGGGGATCCCCAGAGCGTAGTCGGTCAGAACCATGGTCAGGATGGTGATGAAAACAGCAAAATCACTGATAACTGCCCTCACCTATTGAGAAACACACAGAATTGGAAGAAGCACTAGAAACTGAACATGAAACTGTGAGCCTTGTCCCTGTAAGCCAGGTACAATGAATCTAAATAAATACATGTATTATATTATATTATATTATATTATATTATATTATATTATATTATATTATATTATATTATATTATATTATATTATATTATATTATATTATATTATATTATATTATATTATATTATATTAGGCAACACTTTATTTTGATGGTCCACTTTCTACTACACATTCTACTAACTATAAGTAGCTTTGCAACTACATATCAACTACCCATCATTAAAGTATTAGTAGACTGTCTGCTTAATATCTGCTAAAACTTATTTTGATGATCCACCAAGACATTCTACAGACTACAGCATAACTTTGAAACTACATGTCAATTTAGACAACTAATCTGAACCGTAACACCTAACAGTCTATGGGATTAATATCCTGCCATGATTCAAAACAAAAAAATATAGTTCTGAAAGGTTGAAACTAAGTGTTCGAAAACTCAAAATCTTACAAAACATTTTTTTGCAAGATTGAAAAATTACATTTTCAAGCTTGCAAAATGTTATAAATGATATATAAAATGATATATATATCTGCAAACATTTTGTTTTTGAGATTTCCTTCTTCAGAACTGCAACATTTGTTTTTTACAATGTTGCGCAAACAATTTTTCAGAGTTTCAAATTTGTCAGTATTCTCCCACTATATTAGTTTGCTTTCCAGGTTTGAAACCTTGTAAATGGTGATCTGAAAACTGGTGTGCGAATGTGTGAAACAAGGTTTTGAAACTCTGAAAACACAATTTTGCATGCTTGATAAAATCTCTGAAACATAATTTTGTTTTTGAATGTTCCTTCTTCAGAAGTGCAACACTCTTTTTTATGGTTTTGTGCAATCATTTTTTTCAGAGTTTCAGTGGGAAAACACTGACAAATCTGAAACTCTGAAAAACTGTTTGCGCAACATCGGGAAAAAAATGTTGAAGTTCTGAAGAAGGAAATCTCAAAAACAACAATGTTTGCATATATATATATATATATATATATATATTACATTTTGCAAGCTTGCCAATCTTATTTCGAACAACCTTTCAGAACTTTATTTTCACTTTTGAATCATGGCAGGATATTAATCCCATAACAGTCTACAACAGTCTACTAATACTCTAATGAGACTTAGTTGACATGTAGTTACTAACTATAACTACATGTCAACTAAGTCACATTAGAGTATTAGTTACTTGTAGTTAGTAGAATGTCTCAAGTGTACCATCGCAATAAAGTGACCTTATTTTATATATATGTATATATATATATATGAAGAGTTCAGATGCAAAAGCCTCTAAATGCCATTTGAAATTTTCTTCTAAAATGACCATTTTTATCAAGCTTGTATATTTAAGTTCAGTAATTTCACTTAAATGACAATTAATAGGTAATCTTCATTGCCATTTAAGTGAAATTACTGAACTTAAATATACAAGCTTGATAAAAATGACCATTTTAGAAGAAAATTTCAAATGGCACTTAGAGGCTTTTGCATCTGAACTCTCGTATATATATAATGTTTTTTTTCTCACACATATTTAGATTTTTTCACAGATAAATCCACATAAATCCACACACACTTCCACAGTAGTCTGTCTTATTCTATACTGAAACACACACACAACCTTCTTACCTTGGTGGGGAAGTAACGGCTTGTTTTGAACTCCTTGAGGAAGGACGACATAGCAACCGTAGAGAAGAAGAGAATGACAGACCAGAAGAGGACGTCAGGTATGTATGGACCGTGATGGCCACAGGCTTTGCCCAGAAACTCACCCCTGTTCTCCACACAGCCCTGAGACACAAAATAAGTCACAATAATCACATCTACTTCTGATGAAGAACACAGACAAACACAACATCAAGAAAAAAGGGGATACAAGTTAATATGCAGTCATGTGTAAATATGGAAATATATCACAATATCACAAGGATTTGTTTATAGTGTGGATTAGACTGTGTGTGTGTGTGTGTGAGAGAGAGAGAGAGAAAGAGAGTGTGTAGGGGCTTAAATATAAACAGAGGGGAACTGAGGTGAAACAGCAGAGGATTTGCTTTTATTAGAGTTACTGAAATGTATTGACCTATATCTGAGCCAAAGAAAAGAGACGTAGTCGTAGACATCTGTGGGAATGTTCGGGATGGTGTACTGTATTCTACATACTGTTTTTGAAAGAAAAAGTAGGATGGAGTGTGTTTACCATGAACTGCATGCACATTCTGTATGCATCGATGATATACAACTAGAGCACAGTATATATATTGAATAGATTATACATCAGAATACATTATCTTACAATGCAATGCATTCGATGAAATTTCCTTTTTGAGAATGATAAATGAAGTATTAACACCGTCTTGACTCATTATTTGATCAAACTGGCAAAAACTGACTTTCGTTTTTAATTCGTACCATAAAATAACCATATTTATATTTTTCCATGACAACAAAACAGTTGTGACAGTTTCCAAGATGACATGCTATGGAGGTCATGTAACATTTAGCATACTACTGCTCCATTTACAACATAGCCCTTTGGTGCATTCAAATCATGTTGGAAAATATCATATTTATGAGTTGAATGCACAGGAACACCACAGCAAAGTTGTAATTACAAATGCGAAACTTTTAATTAACAACTTTCTTTAATGTAAGCCCAAATTTCCAAGTTGGGGACATATCAATGAGAAAATATGGTGGAATTCTGTATTGATGGTAAATGAAGAAATGTTGAAATGAAGGCTATTATTATTTTTCATTTACAATTAAACTTATCGCATGTACAAAATGCAATAGTATTGAACAGTTATGATAGGACATATTACGATTCAATTTACCTTAGCAAATAGTATAAAAACATAAAAAATCAAAAACACCTGATTCGCATTCTTTATTCATATTCATTTTGTAGAAGTAGAGTTAAAAAAATCTTGCTGAATATTTTCTGCTCCTGACGTTGTAATTACGACTTCCCAACTAGTAAACTAACTTCCCAGTAGGACTTGAATGCCCCAAAACTCACCTTGACATCTAGGCCTAGCCAGTCAATCTCAGATGCAGTGATGTTTTTTTCCTCCCAATAATTCAGTGTGGCATTACTGGGTTTTGTAGGCATTGTACACACACATCTGAAAAACACACACAAATACGTCATGATATTTCACATTGATAACTTTATCAACATGTACAGCTGAATTTTATCTGTGAACTTGAGGAAGAATGATATGTGTGTCAGTACTCACGAGTACTGAGTGAGCTGGTTGAGGTTGTTGTGCATGTTGAAAGGGTATGTCTCTCCCAGATGAATAAGTTTCTCCAGAGCTTCGTAGATAAAGATGATGCAAATGAGGGAAGCGAAGGCTTCCTCTGTGAATCGTGTAATGTAACACACCAGAGAGCTAGCGTCTGTGGCAACCAGCAAAAGACAGAAAAAGGCCGTCCACAGACCGATACACACGCGCAGGGAGAGGTAGGACAAACCATACTCTCTGGGGAGACAGACAGATAATAATTCAATTGACTTGAATTCATTTATACTTTCAAAAATGCTCATTTATTGTAGGACAATAAAATTGTAAAATTGTAGGAATAATAATGGAACTTCCCTGTGTGATATTTTAGTTATTGTAGTAACTAATAATCACCCACAATCCATTTTGAATTCTTTGTAATAATCTTTTTTTATAATATCATTATGAATTACTGTAATGCATTTTTCTTTGTGAGAAAGTACTTTGTATTAGCTCTTTTTTTATTGTCCCAATCATTTATTTGGGGAAAAATGAAACATTTAGACATTTAGACATTTAGACAGACAGACAGACAGACAGACAGACAGACAGACAGACAGACAGACAGACAGACAGACAGACAGACAGACAGACAGACAGACAGACAGACAGACAGACAGACAGACAGACAGACAGACAGACAGACAGACAGATAGATAGATAGATAGATAGATAGATAGATAGATAGATAGATAGATAGATAGATAGATAGATGTGCAAGTAAACAACGCAACAATTCATTCTTAGTGAATTCCCCCATTAATCACACATTGAAATACTTTTAAATGCTTATTGCAAATGAATCTAAGCCTCACTTGCAGAATTTGAAGAGGATTTTCTCAAAGACCAAGACAGGTCCCGTGCTGCCCAGGATAGTGAGGGGCTGTCCAGCAAACAAAGAGTACGCTATACCCGTCATAGAGGCTCCAAACAGAGACTCTATCGCACTCTAAGAGAGAAATGGGAAGAATACATCATCAGTCACAGCATAATTAATCAAGATACAGTAGTACATGATCTAAATTCACTTATTTGTCCTTACTATGCGTCCTTCTGTAGCTTCTCCCAGGAGACCTCCAAAGGTGATTACAGGAGACATGCAGGCGCAGTACAGAAAGAGGAAGGAGGCGAGACACTGCAAACTTATGGCGTCTGTGTAATCTGACAGGTAGTGAGGAGCCTTACGTTTGATGTCCAGAATTAAGCCACCAAATAACCTGTAGATATATTTAAAAGACATTATCTGGGATCTGGGTCTGTCTCACACATGGGGATTGACAGAATTTATGAACACAAAAAGATATGGACAGTACATATTTACAGATTACTCACCTCCCTGTGCGCTGTAGCTCTGGTCCTCCGTGGCCTCCGTGTTCCTCATTCTCCCCCAGATCAGCCCCTCCATTGGCCAGAGGAGGAACCTTCCGCTTCTCCTGACAGATTTAGTCATAAACCAACATTACCACTGATTTCAGACTGGATATGAAAATATGAACTATTCCAGGTGCCTAGTGATGCACTGAAATGAATTTCTTACCAAAACCAAAATTAAAGTTTTCATTCAGCCTAAAACCGAAAATAACATTTATTTAAGTATGTATTTAATAATCAACGTTAAAAAAACAAAAACAAAGTAGATATTAACATTTAAGCAGTTTTATATCAACTTTTAAAAGTTAAAGGGGTGATGAACTGAGAAATTAAATTTTCCTTGAGCTTTTGACATCTAAGATGTCATCATATTATAAGAATATCCTGTAAGTTTCAGAACTGAAAACATCCTTGTTAGTCCAATAAAAGCTTTTATTGACACCAGCCTCAGCACACGACTCGTTTTCAAAGAGGATAAAACACCACCCCGCAGAAGAAGATCAACGCCTACTTCAACACGGCCGGTTTAGCCCCGCCCACCGACTTGAGTATTACACGCATAGCTAAATAACGTACTGTAGGCCTACCTCGTGATGACAAACCGGATCCAGCTACTGACCAATACAAAATATTGTGAAGTGCCTGGTTGTGGAAGAAGACAGTCGCTGCATAAGCTTCCTCTGGATTCCAATAGGACTGCATGGTTAAACTTTATTTTTAATGACGTTCAAGCTGATAAGGGTAAAACATTGTCCATCTGTTTGCTTCATTTCACTGAGGATTGTTGTGTAACACCGATTAAGAGTAAAGAATGGTGCTGTGCCGTCTATATTGGATCTGACAGGAATTGTGCAACACACGGACTCTGGGTCGAATCATTCCGGTTGCCATTTTACAACAATGGACGTTTTCAAAACAATTTCCCCAAAGTGCATCGACGGGCGAGTTGAAACTCATTATAATATGCAAAACTGTTATCCACTCACAGCAGTGGGCGTTTCCTTCCAAGTCTTCAGTGCGAGACGCCCATAAAAACCAAGCGTTTTTCAGGTAGGCTCAACACTTATTCATTTTGATGTTTTTGAATGCAAAAACCAAGCGAACGTCATAAGTTGACCTCAGACAACAATATAATAAAATTTAAAAAGCCAGTTCATGACCCCTTTAAGATTATTAGTTTCTACTAATAAACATTTAAACAGTGACTGTAATAAAAACTTGTTTTCATGAATTTTATTCCAATATACAATAAAAACATGTAAAGTAAAAAATATATTGCAAATATTTAGCAAAATGCTTCTCTCTAGAGTTGACTAACTGCTATGGCTAACTACAGTACCTGACTAATGAGCTTTCCTGAGGTAAATGTAACTTTATGTGACATATTGTTTATAATCTGATTGAGTGATTACATGAGACATGATAGGTCTCTTTCAACATACCTTCTGATGTTCATTCGTGTTTGTTTTGTACTATAACAATTAGAAGAGATGAAAAGAATCATCGGTTCACACAAATTACGCACTGACGCTGAATGCTGATTTGGGACTCTTCCCAATAATTTTGGCCCTCCAAAACTTTTGGCCAAAACCGAAAATTCATTTTTGGTTGGAATATTTTCAGTTGTCGAAATTTCAGGGCATCACTAATTCAGTATCAGATCTGTGATGAATTAGCGCGTGGAGTTTGAGAACTGGGTTACCTGTGAGGGCACGTTTTTGGGCGGCTCTATTCTGATGGTGGGATCCCACTCGCCTGGGGGCAGCACAGTCACCTGGTCCAAAAACTCATCGATTCCTGCCACAAGGTCAGAACGATCCTTTGCTTTATAAGCCACATCATGAAACACCTAAAAAAAGAGATGTTCTTGTGAAATTAGCGCACAGACAGTAATAGCCAGTTGCCTATAGTCATGAACAGAAATAAACAGTAATTAGTTATTGCCCATAACACTAACCTCATCGGTCATGAGTGTTGCAATGGAACGGCCAATCTCATGGTACTGAGGCCCTTTCCCCATCGGGCCCAACAAAATGAAGAGAAACCTACAAAACGACAAAGGGCTTAGTAGTGAACTCTGAGGCACACCACTCTGTAAAATGAACTTGAATGATTGAGATATTTTATGTGTTTTTTGCACAGATCACTCTGCTCCTACCTGGTGGTGATGGGAACCTCTGCCAGGCCGTTAAGCAGCACAGCGGGAGACAGACGGATGAAGGCCACCACAGGTTTCTCCAGAAACTCTAGCTCACCCACTAGGATGTTGGATGCCTCAGCCCCGGGTGGGATTTTCTTCATGAAGTGGAGGTCTATCTGCAGACACAAAACATACTTCCTCAGCAACACAACTTTTTTTAAACACTGACACTATCATGGTATTAAAATTGTTGGTATGAACCTTTATCTGTTTATTAAGCATGCTTATAAAGTGTGTTATAAACAGTGTTATAAATCTACCTACCTTTTTAGTTACCAATACAGTATTTAAATGATGTAATTCAATTATTTGTTGCACTACCAATCAAAAGTGTGATGTTTTTGAAAGAAGTATGCTTATGCTCATCAAGGCTGCATTTATTAATCAAAAATACAGTAAAAACAGTAATTTGGAGAAATATTATTACAATTTAAAATAACCGTCTTCTGTTTTTTTCAAATTTTTTCAAAGCTGAATTTTCAACAGCCATCCCTCCAGTCTTTAAAGGGCACCTATTATGCCCCTTTTTACAAGATGTAATATTGGTCTCGGTTGTCCCCAGAATGTATTTGTGAAGTTTCAGCTCAAAATACCCCACAGTTAATTTATTATAACCATTTGAAAATGTCATTTTGGGGCCTGTTTGAAAATGAGCTGTTTTGAGGCATGCCACTTTAATGCAAATGAGCTGCATATCCCCGCCCTGCCTTTGGATGAGGGCGTAACTTGAAACCTATGGCTATGGCAGTCGGTCTAAGCAGAAGGGGAGAGTGAGAGACACGCTGTTTTGTCTGTCATTCAGCGTACGTTTGAATCTGAATAAATAAATAGCACGAAGAGACTCCGGCAGAATAAACACAAATGAGAATGGACCAGTACGTCTCGGTATGGTTATTTGATACATTTATGTACTTTAGCGTTGTAATCGCGTCCTCTTTGCAAGTATGGTGGAGCAACACACACACAGACACACAAACACTAACGCTGGCGCATTTTTTTTTAAACTAACGTAACATACACATTCTGTGACAAAGTTTGCTACGTAAATTACAAGCGAAATTACATTTATGCGAGGGACCTGTGGCGTCATGTTTACTTGTCATACAGATGCTTCAGTGGCAAATGTGAGAAGATGGCTAACTTACAGAACAAGAACATATATGCGGTTTTTTTAACACAATATCTTTAAAAATATATTTATTTATAAACGTGTGGTTACACACTATACAAACAAGGTTTAAATTATATACACAGACATCCTACGACGACAGCAACTTTAGACGCATTTGTTGATGAATTGGCTGACAGACTGAAAAGGGTAATTGAAATAGAAATTATTTGAAATAGAAAACTTTTGTAACAATGTAAAAGTCTTTACTGTAACTGTATCAATTGAATGAATCCTTGCTGAACAATTCATTTGGAAAAAAAAAATCTTACTGACACCAAACTTTTTAATGGTAGTGTATGTTTGTATATTTAAGTTCTGGAGTGATATTTAAAAACTGTCTAAATGTGATTCTCACTTTGCTGAAGTCAACAGCACTGTTCTCACGACTGCCATCCCCACGTCCCTCTGTAGTGGTGGGCTGAGCCTGAGGAGACACCATCTGTCCTGAAAGCAGTGCAGCAAACACACAAAACAGAGGAAATATATCACAGACTATCATATAAAAACAGGTTTGATTGTTTAGAATAAAGACAGTAATGTTAAGGTCATAGAGAGATTAAGACCTATGCACACTTACCTGGTTAAAAATATTTGTAAGAAACAGATTAAGGAAGTCAGTTACAAACTTCCTAGCATTTTCTAAATCTAAATCAAATTTAAAACCTGAATCTAGAAGTATCGAAGAAACAATTAGAAGAGGTTAGATATCTAATAGTCACCTACAAATTGCAGTACTCTAAAAACTACTTCATATGTGGTTAAAGGCAAATTTAAGTGGTTAAATTCTACGCTAACGCTAAGTGTATTGTTGATAAGAGAATAGATATGGAATACCTAAGGGTGTGTTCGCACTTGACAGGTTTGGTTCGATTCGATTAAAATGCTGGTGTTGCTCTGTAAGTGTTGAATAAGTTTGAACACTCTCATTCGAACTTTGGTGCGTACCAAACAAGTGGACCAAACAAGTTAGCTCTCAAACAAACTCTGGTGTAGTTTGAATGAATTATGAGATTAACACGGAACAAAGACTTCTAAACAAACCCAAAACAGGATGTGATGTCACAAGACATAACCCTAAAAAGGACGGAATGCTCAAGGATACCTGGTTCTCCTCATCATTGGAGATATGTTGCCCATAACAGGTTGGTACAGGTGTTGGAACCGCCATCTCCTTGTAGCAGATCTTCATTTGTATATGTAACAGAGGAATTCCTTCTGCTGTTTTGATTAATTTACACATTTTAAAAGCTCTTTGTGACTTCTCAGCAGGTAAAATTAAAAAAGAAATTGTACGCACTAACAACGAGCGCTTTAACTCAGCACAAGGCATTGTTACGCACAGCAAACACATTATAAAAATGAATGTTATTCACTTTTGAATGCAAAGCGAACCAGGACTACTGTAAATGTAGCCTGCCTCCTTTTTTGGGGGGTTAGGACCAAAAGAACCAAGAGAATTGAACTACAAGTATGAACACACCCTTAATAACTCTGTACTCTATCAACTATTGCTATTTACCATGATACATTTGCATATCCACCACATTGGAAAGGCCAAGATCCACCCATAAACATGCAAATGAACTGGCAAGGGAATGGGATCACCTGATTACGCTATCTGTATTCCATATCTATGCATTAAGGTGTGGTCACATTTACTTTTTTCCACAATATCTGCAAGCCAAATCCAGTTATTTCAATAGGAATCCACATGATCAGAAATTTTACATGAGGCAAAAGGGCAGGAGGGCGATTGTGCATGCGGATTTCGCTTTGGGTTCAAGTTGGGCAAACAAATTCACTGCGTGGAAAGCTTCTTGGTTTGAATGTGATTTCTGTGTGAGTGGTGCTTTATACATCACCACACTATTGACAATGGACTGTTTCTGGTGGCAAAATATTGCTGAAATTTCACGAATGTGACTGCACCTTGAGAGTACAAGCATATCTATGATCAAATTGCCTGATAGTGGCTCTTCTTCAGGGTCGATGGTGGGGATGGCATGGTAGCCGGAAGGCAGGCTTAATCGTTTGTTGAAGGGGATGAAGGATTTTTTGGGTCGAATGAGGGGGTTGTCTGGGGCAGGGGGGGTAGAAGAGCATGTGTGGGATTTCTGGGGCGCTGACACACACTTGGGATCCCTAATGGACCAGGCTTTACATAAGAGCACCTGTCTGTTTCTCACACTTCGACTGAACCTAGACCAGAGAGAGGAGCGGGGACTAGGGAGCGAATTGGTCATGAAGATAACTGGGAAACACAAATGGACACACCATTAAAAAAGAATGATGAAGACATGCATGGCAAATGTAGAACAATGCATCTGCTGGAGCGTGTGGAGCAGTACCATTCTTATCCATGGAGTGTGGCTCAGACTGCTTTCTGCCGATATCTGCGAAAGAGCGTACGATGGGAATCCGGTTAGCCAGTTTCTTCTGGTTCTGATGGTGGTGCTGTTTAAGGAGAGCATTTCGGACCTTCTTCCTCACCTCCTCTCCCAATAAGCCTGACGTCTCGTGCTGGTCCAAAACCATATCTTGAAAAAAAAAGAAAATAAATAAAGCCATTTCTAAAGTTTTTCATGACCATTCGAAAGTTTGTGGTTAGTACGATTTTTTTATTTTTTTATTTACACTATAGCAAGGAGATGTGTGTGAGTCCCAAGCTATGTAATGGGGAGGGTTAGGGAAAGACCTAAAACTAAAGTGCATACTCATTCAGATGGCATGTTTCTAAGTTCACCGTAGTGATTAGGAACACTTAAGTGATAAGTCTTGCTGTTTCATTGGGCTCCAAATATGAAGTGACACACAGGCCAAATTCCAATTGTCATCCATATGGGAAAGACCTGAGAATACAGTAATGATGTATGAAAAAAGGTTTTTGATGACCAGAACAAATCATGAAATGACTATAAGATACAGTAATAGTTTAATTGTTTGAATACTCATCTCCACTATCTGGGCAATAATTAAGAAGTTTATATGAACTGGAGATTGTAACAATCTACCTGTAAGAAGATGGGTGTCTACATTGGCCCCACACACACTGAGGAGGATGTTTGAGTCGAAGTTGGAGAATTGCAGATGCTAGTTGGGCCTTGGGATCAAAAAGTCTCCAAAACTATGATCAGACCTCATCAATATATTCACAACTTGTTTGGGAATGTTTCAATAAAAAAAAATCCTTTGGTGACATCAGACAGCAATTGACAAGCATACACCTACAGTTTGCCAGGCGTTACTGGAACTTTCAGTGAGACTGGGTTTTATAGACCAAAATAAAGCCTTTTGGAAAACATCAAAGGTGGGTTTGGCATTGACAGTAACATATACATGTAGAAAAGCACCTCATCCCCACTGGGAAGTATGGTGGTGGTGGATCTTTAATGTTGTAAACTGGGCCGTGATTTGATCTTCCAGCATGACAATGATCAAAAGCCCAACCCAAAATAAACAACAGAATAGCTCATTGACCACAGAATGAAGGTTTTGCCATTGACACAGCAGTCCCCTGACCCATAAAAAAAAAAAAAAAAACATGTGGGATGAGCTAAAGAAAAAAGTCCAGAAGCATGGATCTTTGAATCAAGGATATGGAGATTCAGAGGTCTCAGGAGGAATGGTCTCTTTTGCCACATGTTCATCAACCTTATCTTGACAAAGGGAGGTCGCACAAATTATTAAATAAAGGGGTGCCATTAGCATATTAGCTGAAAGACATGTACAGATCTCGAAAATCCACCCTAAAAAGTATCAACAAGCAACTGTAGCACAATATTTTCAATGTACTATCATTTGGGATGCACTAATCTTATGTTGAATATAATTTAGAATGTGCAGTATGTTAAGTGTGATTTTGAATGGCCCTGTATTACAAACTAAAATCAGTAAACAGCTAATCCTAATAATTAAAATGCTGATTGCTTTAGATCCATGGGGAAGGCGTTTAGAAGATCAGGTTTGGGCAATGTTTTCAGACTCTGTACCTGCAATCTCCTCCAGTGAGTTGGCCCTCATGTCCAGCATGACGATGCCATTTAGGATGCAGCTCCGCAGCTCAAACAGGCTATGAAGGGAAAGAGTAGCCACGTATGGCTTACTCCACCTCTCCCCTCCATCCTCCACATCCTCCTCAAACTTCAGCCATCTACAGACAAATAAGGGAAATGAGAAAAAAGAAGAATAGGAAGAGTGGGAGAAAAAAAGAGAGAATGAGTATGACAATTAAATTAGTTTTCTCATTTAGCTGTAGTACCACAAACTGGTGGTATTGCATTAGCTGTAATGGATACAGGCCTAATCCATTCCTAATCTCTTACTCCAAACCACAAATATTGCTCTTAAGTAGGTTTGCTCTTGATTTAAAACATTTTTAATCGCACTCCACAGTTTGTTTCTGGCCCTCAAATGGATCCATGAAACCCTCTGTGACCCATACTTTGGATTTCTGAAATTAGATGCACATCTGATAGCAAGACAACAGAAATTCAAATCACAACCGAGGTCTGCAGAGGAGCATCTCTGAACCTTGAAGCAGATGGGCTACAAATGCAGATGATCCCTCCTTCATCTAAGAACAAGAAACTGAGACTACAATTTGCACAGGCTCACCAAAATTAGACAATAGAAGATTGGAAAAACATTGCCTAGTCTGATGAGTCTCGATTTCTGCTGCGATATTAAGATGGTAGGGTCAGGATTTGGTGTAAACAACATGAAAGCATGGATCCATCCTGCTTTGCATCAACGGCTCAGGTTGCTGGTGGTGTAATGGTGAGAGGGATATTTTCTTGCCACACTTTGAACTCCTTAGTAGGGCTGAACGATTATGGAAAATAAGCTAATTGCGATTTTTTTTACAGTAACCAATATTGCGATTTAATATGCAGTTTAAAAAAAAAAGTTCTTTACCTTCTGTATTAGTCGACAAAGACGAGCAATAAATCTTTGTACAGTAGGGATGGGAATCAGGCAGCTCATGATCCGATCTACTTTTTTTTATTAATTCATCTTAATAACACTTCAAATATGTATTTAATTACATGTGTCATGTCCTGTCGTGTTGTGTCTGGTTCTCTCTCTTTACTCTGTCTCCCTCTGCTGGTCATATTAGGTTACTTTCTCTTTCTCCGCTCTTCCAGCTGTTCCTCATCTCCTCTGACTACCTCGTTCTCCCTCTTTCCACCTGTTCCCTTTCTCCCCTGATTAGCTCTCTATTTCTCTCCCTGCTACTGCTGCGTTCTTTGTCAGATTCTCTTTTGAGCATCTAATGTTGGAAGCAAACCTCTGTCTCGGTTGTTTCACCGTCGTCCTGTCCAGTCCTGTTGGTGTCCGTCTGGTTAGTGCTACCTGTTAATCCTCTGATATCTACCCTGTCCAGTTCTCCTGAGGCTACACCTGAACTGGTACCCACTCTCTCCGTGTCTTCCTGGTGAGACCTGCAGTCTGTTGCCGTAACCCAGAGATTCCTCTCGACTGCCTAAAGACTTTTGAAGTTCATCAGTGACTTGAGTTTCGTTTCGGCGCCCGCTCTGCGGGCAGTTTATTTCCTCATCGTTAATTAATAAGAAGATCAGTCTGCCTCACTGTGTCTATCCTGGGTTCACGTTTCATTAAAGACTCTGTTTCTGTTACCTCGCTGTTGGGTCCTCTTTACCTGCATAACAGAAGAATCTGACCACAATGGACCCAGCGAGTCCGGATCACCTCCAGTCTGCCGTCGAGATCCAGGGAGCGATGTTAGGCAGACACGAGGAGGAACTGTCCGCCGCCCGACATGCCGTTGAGACCCTGGCCGCCCAAGTCTCTGATCTTTCCAGGCAGGTTCATCAGCTCCGCCTTGATCCACCGACTTTCTCCGGGGCGTCTCAAGTTTCTGAACCCAGAGTCAATAACCCACCGTTTTATGCTGGTGAGCCCACTGAATGCCGTCCATTTCTCACTCAGTGTGATGTAGTGTTTTCTCTCCAGCCCAACACCTACTCCAGAAACAGAGCCCGTATTGCCTACGTGATATCGCTCCTTACGGGACGGGCTCGCGAGTGGGGGACGGCAGTCTGGGAGGCGGAGGCTGAGTGCACTAACCAGTATCAGGACTTTAAGGACGAGATGATTCGGGTCTTTGACCGTTCTGTTTTTGGGGAGGAGGCTTCCCGGGTCTTGTCTTCCCTAAGTCAAGGTAATCGCTCCATAACCGACTACTCCATTGAGTTCCGTACTCTTGCTGCCTCCTGTGACTGGAACGAGCCAGCTTTACTCGCCCGGTTTCTGGAGGGTCTTCGCGCGGAGGTGAAGGATGAGATTCTTTCTCGGGAGATTCCCTCCAGGGTGGATTCCCTGATTGAGCTCGCCATCCGTATCGAGCGACGGTTCGACCTTCGTCGCCGAGTCCGAGGAAGGGAGTTCGCCGCTTCCCACGCTCCTCCTTCTACACCGTTACCATCGCCCTCCGCCGGCTCGAGCTCTGAGCCCATGCAGCTGGGAGGCATTCGTATCTCGGCTAAGGAGAAGGAGCGAAGAATCGTCAACCGCCTCTGTCTTTACTGCGGGTCAGCGGCTCATGTTGTTTCGTCATGCCCAGTAAAAGCCAGAGCTCATCAGTAAGAGGAGGGCTACTGGTGAGCGCTACTACTCTGGTCTCTCCTTCAAGGTCCTGCACTACCTTTTCGGTTCATCTCCGCTGGTCCGGTTCATCGGCCACCTGCAGTGCCTTATTAGACTCTGGGGCGGAGGGCTGTTTTATGGACGAGAGCTGGGCTCGGGCGCACGACATTCCGCTTAAGGAATTAGAGGATTCCACGGCCTTGTTCGCTTTGGACGGTAGTTCTCTCCCCGGGATTCAGCGTGAGACGCTACCTTTAACCCTCACTGTCTCTGGTAATCATAGCGAGACCATTTCTTTTTTAATTTTTCAGTCACCTTTTTCTCCCATTGTTTTGGGCCATCCCTGGCTAGTTCGTCATAACCCATCTATTAATTGGTCCACGAATACTATCCTTTCTTGGAATGTTTCTTGTCATGTGAAGTGTTTAATGTCTGCTATTCCCCCTATTTCCTCTGTCTCTTCTTCTCAGGAGGAGCCTGGTGATTTGACGGGGGTGCCGGAGGAGTATCACGATCTGCACGCTGTGTTCAGTCGGTCCCGGGCTACTTCTCTCCCTCCTCACCGTTCGTATGATTGTTGTATTGATCTTCGTCCGGGGACCCCCCCCCGGGGAAGGCTCTACTCGCTCTCGGTACCTGAGCGCAAGGCTCTCGAGGATTATTTATCTGTAGCGCTCGATGCCGGTACTATTGTTCCCTCCTCCTCTCCCGCTGGAGCTGGGTTTTTTTTTGTCCAAAAGAAGGACGGGTCCCTACGCCCCTGCATTGATTATCGAGGGCTGAATGACATTACTATTAAGAATCGTTATCCACTCCCTTTGATGTCCTCAGCCTTCGAGATCCTGCAGGGAGCCAGGGTTTTTACTAAGTTAGACCTTCGCAACGCTTACCATCTCGTGCGTATTAGGGAGGGGGACGAGTGGAAGACGGCGTTTAACACTCCGTTAGGGCACTTCGAATACCGGGTCCTTCCTTTCGGTCTCGTAAACGCTCCAGCTGTCTTTCAGGCATTGATTAATGATGTCCTGAGGGACATGCTGAATGTTTTGTCTTCGTTTATCTTGACGATATCCTGATTTTTTCGCCGTCACTTCAGATTCATGTTCAGCACGTTCGCCGCGTTCTTCAGCGCCTCTTAGAGAATTGCCTTTACGTGAAGGCTGAGAAGTGTACTTTTCATGCTCCCTCCGTCACCTTTCTCGGGTCCGTTATCTCCGCTGAGGGCATTGAGATGGATCCCGCCAAGGTCCAAGCTGTTGTCGATTGGCCTGTTCCTAAGTCACGCGTCGAACTACAGCGCTTTCTCGGCTTCGCAAATTTCTATCGCCGGTTTATCCGTAGTTTCAGTCAAGTGGCTGCTCCCCTCACAGCCCTTACTTCGGTCAAGACGTGTTTTAGGTGGTCCGATTCCGCCCAGGGGGCTTTTGATCTTCTCAAAGATCGTTTTACGTCCGCTCCGATCCTTATTACACCTGACATCTCTAAACAGTTCATAGTCGAGGTGGACGCGTCTGAGGTGGGCGTGGGTGCCATTCTTTCCCAGCGCTCATCCGCTGACAACAAGGTCCATCCGTGCGCCTTTTTTTCTCATCGTTTGTCGCCGTCGGAGCGTAACTATGATGTAGGTAACCGCGAGCTACTCGCCATTCGCTTAGCCCTAGGCGAGTGGCGACAGTGGCTGGAGGGGGCGACCATTCCTTTTGTCGTTTGGACTGACCATAGGAATCTTGAGTACATTCGTTCGGCTAAACGACTTAATGCACGCCAGGCTCGTTGGGCTTTGTTTTTCGCTCGTTTCGAGTTTGTAATTTCCTATCGTCCGGGTTCGAAGAATACTAAACCGGACGCTTTGTCTCGTCTCTTTGATTCACCAGAGGTTCCCATTGACCCTGAAGGGATTCTTCCTAAGGGGCGTGTCGTCGGGGCGACTATCTGGGGAATTGAGAGGCAGGTAAAGCGAGCACTCTCTCACACTCCCGCTCCGCGTGCCTGTCCGAGGGGTCTTCTTTTCGTTCCCGTTCCCACTCGTCTGGCCGTTCTTCAGTGGGCTCACTCTGCCAAATTAGCGGGTCACCCCGGCGTTCGGGGTACGCTGGCTTCCATCCGTCAGCGTTTTTGGTGGCCCACTCGGGAACGTGACACACGCCGTTTCGTGGCTGCTTGTTCTGTTTGCGCACAGACTAAGTCCGGGAATTCCCCGCCTGCCGGTCTTCTCAGACCGCTTCCTATTCCTTCTCGACCGTGGTCGCACATCGCCTTAGATTTTGTCACTGGTCTGCCAGCATCGGCGGGTAAAACCGTTATTCTGACAGTTATCGATCGCTTCTCTAAGGCGGCTCATTTTATTCCTCTCGCTAAGCTTCCTTCCGCTAAGGAGACGGCACAAATAATCGTCGAGAATGTGTTTAGGATCCACGGTCTCCCTACAGACATCGTCTCGGACAGGGGTCCGCAGTTCACGTCTCAATTCTGGAGGGAGTTTTGTCGTTTGATTGGGGCTTCCGTCAGTCTCTCGTCCGGCTTCCACCCCCAATCTAACGGTCAAGCCGAACGGGCCAATCAGACTGTTGGTCGCATCCTGCGAAGCCTTTCTTTTCGTAACCCTGCGTCTTGGTCAGAGCAGCTCCCCTGGGCAGAATACGCCCACAATTCGCTTCCCTCGTCAGCTACCGGTTTATCTCCTTTTCAGAGTAGCCTCGGGTACCAACCTCCTCTGTTCTCGTCTCAGCTCGCCGATTCCAATGTTCCCTCTGCTCAGGCTTTTGTCCAGCGTTGTGAGCGCACTTGGAGGAGAGTTAGGTCTGCTCTTTGCCGTTATAGGGCTCAGACTGTGAGAGCCGCTAATAAACGTAGAACCAAGAGCCCCAGATATTGTCGCGGTCAAAGGGTCTGGTTGTCCACTCTTAACCTTCCCCTTAAGACAACTTCTCGTAAACTGACTCCGCGGTTCATTGGTCCGTTCCGTATTGCTCAGATCGTTAGTCCTGTCGCGGTACGACTTGTTCTCCCTCGTTACCTTCGTCGGGTCCACCCGGTCTTCCATGTCTCTTGTGTTAAACCCGTCATCCGCGCCCCCGTTCGTTCCCCCGCCCCCCCCATTCGGGTCGAAGGCGCTCCCATCTACAGGGTCCGCAAGATTCTGGACATGCGTCCGCGGGGTCGTGGGCATCAGTTTCTGGTAGATTGGGAGGGGTACGGACCGGAGGAGAGGAGTTGGGTTCCCTCCCGGGACTTGCTGGACCGTTCACTGATCGATGATTTCCTCCGTAGCCGCCGGGTCTCCTCCTCAGAAGCGCCAAGAGGCGCTCGTTGAGGGGGGGGTACTGTCATGTCCTGTCGTGTTGTGTCTGGTTCTCTCTCTTTACTCTGTCTCCCTCTGCTGGTCATATTAGGTTACTTTCTCTTTCTCCGCTCTTCCAGCTGTTCCTCATCTCCTCTGACTACCTCGTTCTCCCTCTTTCCACCTGTTCCCTTTCTCCCCTGATTAGCTCTCTATTTCTCTCCCTGCTACTGCTGCGTTCTTTGTCAGATTCTCTTTTGAGCATCTAATGTTGGAAGCAAACCTCTGTCTCGGTTGTTTCACCGTCGTCCTGTCCAGTCCTGTTGGTGTCCGTCTGGTTAGTGCTACCTGTTAATCCTCTGATATCTACCCTGTCCAGTTCTCCTGAGGCTACACCTGAACTGGTACCCACTCTCTCCGTGTCTTCCTGGTGAGACCTGCAGTCTGTTGCCGTAACCCAGAGATTCCTCTCGACTGCCTAAAGACTTTTGAAGTTCATCAGTGACTTGAGTTTCGTTTCGGCGCCCGCTCTGCGGGCAGTTTATTTCCTCATCGTTAATTAATAAGAAGATCAGTCTGCCTCACTGTGTCTATCCTGGGTTCACGTTTCATTAAAGACTCTGTTTCTGTTACCTCGCTGTTGGGTCCTCTTTACCTGCATAACAACATGTGTAAAAACACATACTTTAAAAAATAATTCTAAAAAAAAAACATTTAATTAAACCAATGTTAAGAATTTGAAATAGGCTTTATAAAATAATATATCTTCAAAATATAAAAGCTAGTAAATAAATAGAAACAAAAAAAGCATTACAAGCAATAAAGAAAGAGTGGTCTCAGTATTTAAAAGTAGTCTGTCTGAATGTTTATCATTCAAGAGCTGGAGTGATTTTCCTCCTCAGTTTAGATACGATAAGCTGCATTCACACTAATGCACATATCTCTTGAAATTGTAAATGTGGTTTGTCCTGTTGGTTTAAGAACTGACCGTGTTTACATTAATTTCGCGTCATAAAAGCATTTTGACATGCACGTTTATGCACATTTAACCAATGAGTCGCTCACAGCCACATGCACGAGCGCTCTTCGCAAAGCGCGCGTTCGTATTTTAAAATGAAAGCAGCCTTCTCAGTGATTTTCATAGTTTTAATATATAACGTTAAGCCAACTGCAAATGCAATTAATCGTTTAGCCCTACTCCTTAGCACCAACTGAGCATCGCCACAGCCTACCTGAGTATTGCTGCTGACCATGTTTATTCCTTTATGACCACAGTGTACCCATTTTCTGATGGCTACTATACATCCAGCAGGATAATGTTTCAAGTAACAACGCCTCTCAAACTGGTTTCTTGGTCATGACAATGAGTTCAATATACCTCCACACCACAGTCACCAGATCTCAGTCCAATTGAGCACCGTTGGGATGTGTTGGAATGGGAGATTTCCCTCATGGATTATGGACTATATGTTGCTATCATATCAATATGGACCAAAATCTCCTTGTTGAATTTGCGTGGATTCGTACCTAGCCGTCTCTTTCCATTCCGCATCCTCTCCCTCTTTCAGGCAGATCTCGTCCAGCTCGGTGAAAAGAGCATGAGGAATGTGTTCCTCATCGTCCTCCATTCCCAGCAGAAACTGTACACGCTGTGATGGTGTGTCCGCTAGAGAGAAACACGTTTTTATATCTTATTTCTGTCATAATTTTGACATAATCAAATTTCCTTTTTCCTTCAAGAGTATCAGTCTTACTATATGAAGGTGATTCTCTGCCATCTTCGGTTCCAGAGTCTCTTTCCCGTGACCTCTTCCTGTGACGGTGTCCATGGTGACGATGTCGTCTATGTGATCTCCGACCCAAAGGTACATGCACCCCAATGTAGAGGGTACGGTGGCCTGCCAGGGACAAACAGAAGAATGCAGTTATCACAAAACAACCTTAACAAAATAGCTACTATAAAAAGAAATCAAAGAAATCATTCACCTAAATTGAAAAATAAACTGGTCAACCCACTGGACTCCCCAGCTTCACAGCCTAGTTAATGATATGATAAAGGCCTCCCACACATTGTTGTGATTGGTAACAGGGTAGTTTGTGACGTTAAGAAACACAGGCGATATAGGAAATGAACCAGAGAAAATTTCCATGTCAAATTTCCATTGGAACCCCAGAGCGCACCTCCCTCTTATGTAATCACCTTGGACCAATGGTAGTTTGAAGATCTTTACCAACTTTTCCAGAAAGATTGCTTCGGCAAGCTGTTTTGAACTCCTGAAACGAACTTCATTTTGGCCAGATTTTGTTCGAAATGATGTCACACCAGTTCATCCTTCGATTTTGCTCTGAATGAGGGCTAAATTCCTTCTATCTTTGGAGACGACGAACAGAGCATTTCGATAAGCTGTAAATATCGTTAATAAAAATAAAGTACTTTATTTTCTTAAAACACATGGTGGTCATGGTTTAGCAGTACCTTTGTTTTTGTTTTGAAGTAACGTTACTCGTCTGCAGTATTTTTTGTTCTTGAGTTTCATCAATGGTCATTTAGCTGCTGAGTTTTCTGATGCTTTTCTAAACGTGTAATATTATCAATACAGATTTTTAGTCGTAAGATTAGACCGTAGTCATTTATCTTGTTAGTGTGCTTGTTTTAACAAGAGAAATAATCGACTTTCACTTACAACACAATACAGTTACATACATAGCAGCTACCATTGCAATACATGCATATGAAGACGTTGTTCTGCGGGTTCGTCGTCTTCTTTTTCAACTCGCTCGCTCTGGCTCGAACATGTAAGGCTTGTTGGACAAGTCTTCCGTTGTTGAAATTTTGTGTAAAATAAAAAATGTTCTGTGACACTATATAATTGTATATCTCTAATCAAACTACAAAAATGGCCGAATGGGGTGGATTTGAACCGAGTGTGAACTCAGCGACCTAGAAACTGGGCGGGGTATGACACATCTCCTTTTTATTTAAAGGGGCCGCTTCAAAACTAGTTGCTCACAGACGCACATCAGAAAAGGGGTAGAAAAGGGGCCTGTGGAGCCATAATAATGAGGAATTCAGACCCAAGCATTGTAGTTTCGCTTTATATAGACCACAAATGTATGATTTATATGTAAAAAGGAATGATTTAAAAGCATGATGTACCCTTTAAATTCTTCATGACAACCTTTCAAAATAAAAGTTGTGTATAACTTTTATTTATTGTTAGTGTTAAAAACTATCTTCTTGCCCTAGCTCGATTCAAAGCAGTAAGCTTGTAATAAATGTTTTTAATTCCAGTGGTTCTGGTGGATTTCTGCGGGAGATTCAAGCATGTCTTTGCGTCATTACGTCACATCTGTACACATAAAGAAGGAGTATCGGCGGTAACACTTTAGAATACGGTTCCTTCGTTAATGAATAACTACACAAGAACTAATGAGTAACACAATATTAACAATCTAGTAACTATTATTAACTAACAAGAAACTCTGATTAACGAACTAGTAAGTAATAGCGCACAGACGAAAGTGGTAGTTCACTATTAAGTAATCAATAACTACTATTTTTTTAATACTTCCCAGAGAACTACTGAAAAAGTTTATTAATAATCTAGTAACTACTATTAACTAAAAAAAACTCTTATTAACGAATTAGTAAGTAATAGCTCACAGATGAAAGTGTTACTTGATACTTCTGTGGGAATTACTAATTATTTGGATCCGTATTATAAAGTGAAGATCATTGGAACTAACTAGTAATTACTCAAGTGTTACTACATGATCTAGTCATGATTTGTGCAAACGTTTGAGATTTTTGGTGAACTTTAGTCACTTTTAGAAAATGTCTTTAGTAACACTTGAGTAATTACTAGTTAGTTCCAATGATCTTCACTTTATAATACGAATCCAAATAATTAGTAATTAATAGCTCATAGATGAAAGTGTTACTAGATACTTCTGTGGGAATTACTAATTATTTGGATCCGTATTATAAAGTGAAGATCATTGGAACTAACTAGTAATTACTCAAGTGTTTCTACATGATCTAGTCATGATTTGTGCAAACGTTTGAGTTTTTTGGTGAACTTTAGTCACTTTTAGAAAATGTCTTTAGTAACACTTGAGTAATTACTAGTTAGTTCCAATGATCTTCACTTTATAATACGAATCCAAATAATTAGTAATTAATAGCTCATAGATGAAAGTGTTACTAGATACTTCTGTGGGAATTACTAATTATTTGGATCCGTATTATAAAGTGAAGATCATTGGAACTAACTAGTAATTACTCAAGTGTTTCTACATGATCTAGTCATGATTTGTGCAAACGTTTGAGTTTTTTGGTGAACTTTAGTCACTTTTAGAAAATGTCTTTAGTAACACTTGAGTAATTACTAGTTAGTTCCAATGATCTTCACTTTATAATACGAATCCAAATAATTAGTAATTCCCCCAGAAGTATCTAGTAACACTTTCATCTGTGAGCTATTACTTACTAATTCGTTAATAAGAGTTTTTTTTAGTTAATAGTAGTTACTAGATTGTTAATAAACTTTTCAGTAGTTCTCTGGGAAGTATTAAAAAATAGTAGTTATTAATTACTTAATAGTGAACTACCACTTTCGTCTGTGCGCTATTACTTACTAGTTCGTTAATCAGAGTTTCTTGTTAGTTAATAATAGTTACTAGATTGTTAATATTGTGTTACTCATTAGTTCTTGTGTAGTTATTCATTAACGAAGGAACCGTATTCTAAAGTGTTACCGTATCGGCTAGTAGGCTATTGTGTGTGAGGACGTTGGAGGTGGAGATTTATAGCCTTTTCTCACAGCACTTGATATAATTAAATAGGGGTGTCGGAATTAATCGTTTCTACGATGCATCGCGGAATCGGTTCAGTAACAGACCATCGCGGTAGCATACAATGGCAGAGGGAGGCGAGACGCGAGTGCGAATAATTAAAAATGCTCCAACTACTTTAAAAGCCTACATCTGCACACATTGCGGCTCTTATGAACAACCTGGTAAGCATGACCTGGAAAGACACACACTGTGCGTGCTAATGTCATGCACAAATAGAATATGCAGGAGGTAATACCACTAATTTGATAAACCAAGTAAGTGGATGAACTCACGTCACCCGAATCCGCAGCCAAATTTAAATCATCCACCCGCCCCAATAATTTTTCTCTGAATTAGTATCTCCACTCGATGGTCAAATTACAATTATTGTGTGATGTTACGCGTAACTATAAATGATTATCGTCACCCTCAACGGTGGACTAGGCGACAGTTGATGTGCACATCTCTAATGGTAACATTATACACTGATGAATGAGCACTGCTTTTAAATGAACATTTCTTTAAAACAAAATTGATTTGACAGAATTTCCTTTTCTTAATGGCATAAACAGGCTTTACTCCCTTGAAACTTAAATTGGAATGTCACAGTTTCTGTCACTGTCACAACTTCCCAAACAGGCGAACGCACACACACATGCGCGCACACACACACATCACTTTTGAAGTAAAATTTTTAATTGAAGACGCAGTGCATCGTAATGAATTGTGATATCGAATTGAACTGAATCGATGACATGATAATTGTAAACGAACTGAACCGTGAGACCAGTGTAGGTTCACACCCCTTTAATTAAACTTATCAATTTGATGGCGGATCCAGAAAGGTTCAAACGACAATCAGGGGTGACAACTGGAGATTCACCCATTGTAAAATGCAAAAGGCTTGACGTGAAATGATAACCGATCGTTTGATTTAATCAGAGCAATTTACTGTAATGTTTTTTTTCCCTTAGTTGGTCAGAACAAAAGTGGATGTTACGCAGGCTTGTTCAGATCACATTTTCCGGTGAAAATTATTATGTTGGTTATACTTCCAAAAAGTAAAATCTGCCATTCCGAATGACAGTATCTACACCGGCGCGGTGACTGACAGCCGCACATTGTCCTCAAAACATTGGATTCATCCGCGCTGTGCCGTGCCAAGGCATAACCCACGTAAACTTGATAATTCTGCGAATAACTGCAATTGCAGATTTCTAACAGAGATGGCGACAAAGAGGAAACACTGCGGACTGCAGCTTTAAGATGAACAGTACATTTATTTGTTCATCTTAGAAGTGTTAAACAGATGTAGAAGACTGTTGTGTAAGATTCAATCTCTGTAGTAATCTAATCAGATTCAGTGTTTCTGTACTTTGTGTTTCTGTTCTTGTTTACGGTCTCAGATTAAACTATAGCATTAAATCCCTCTCTCTCCCCCTGCAGCCCTGTCCCTCCAGCTCAATGTGTCTCTCTCAACAGAGATGAAGCCTGACAGTGTTTGTCTGTGGGGAGAGATCACATGTGTATGTGTGTGATTCCAGCCCTGGGCACTTACACAGAGAAGCTGGAGCCACAAATCAGACCTTTACGTCACGACTTAAGTGTGTGAAGCAGACAGATGGAGACCAAAAGCAGATCTGCATATAGAACCGCCTGATGGCCCATGCTGACTGTGTCTTTTGAATCACCTCATCAGTTTTTAATATAACCTGCGTCTCACTCTTCAGAGATACACACTCTAATTGAGCTTTAGTTTCATCTGGAGTTTAGCATCTAAATAATTGAAAAAGACCTCCAGGGCCAACACAAACACACGCATGTGTGCTTTTATCTCATTACCTTCACTGATATCTTCCCCCTGCAGTCTTGAGGTATGTATGTGGCCATGTGGTAGTTCATACAAAGTTGAGTCACTTTCTCTTAAATCAGTGAAACATACTCTAAACATCTTAACACTACAATACAGAGCAGTTAAAAAGGCCTTAATATGATGTTTGGGCATTAAATCAATAGGTCATTTATTTCTTTTGCAGATTTGAACACAAAAACAGATTTTTAA